TTAAATCAAATTTCAAAAGTTAATTACAGAAACAAAAATTCTTCCACCCAAAACTAACAAGTCAATTGGTAAAAAATTTGGATCATATTTCAATTTATGCGTATTATCATGGCGCAGAGCAGGGTCCATGCTAAACCTTTTGACGAGTGGGTAAGAACAGTAAAGGTTTACCGACGCTGACTGATGCTATCAACCACTCGATTGTATCCAGTCAAAATTAATCTCCACCGCAGAGAAATCTTCCTCATCCGGAGACTAGAATTCGTCGGTTCGAAGAAGACGAAGACGAAGACGAGGGAAAAGAAAGCGCAAGTCTTTTAGTAGTAGTGAGGTTAATTCCCAGCCTCAGATCCAGCACGAGCTTTTGACTCTTCAACACAGTCGCCAAAAACACCACTTTCAATTCACACTTCAAAATTCAAACTTCAAACCCTCAGAAAAATCTGACCTTTTTACACCAAAAATAAAACAAGCTGCCCACGTTATCGAAGGGGAACCCAGATGGTACCCAGAAGGCCCCAGACCCATCTCCCTCTTCCCCTTTGCTTTGTCTTGCTTTTCTCTCCATAAAGGAACCCTCTTGATCGCTTCTCTTTTTTGCCTTTGTACGGGTTTTTTTTAGGAGAATTGAAGATGGAGAGTGCGGGAGTGGCAGTTGGAACCGGAGGAGGAACCCCCACCTATGGGGGGAGATATGTAAGGTATAACATCCTGGGTAGCATCTTTGAGGTGTCCTCCAAGTACGTTCCTCCTATTCAGCTTGTTGGTCGCGGCGCATACGGCTTCGTCTGGTACTGTCCTGCTTCCTCTACATGTGTAAATCTTGGGATTTGATTGAATTTTTTTTTAATTAATTATTTGGGTTTTTGCTGCTATGAAATCTAGTCTTGTTTCTGTTAATTTCATTGATTAGCTATTTTGATGGAGATTTCTTTTGAGTCAATTGTTTGAGAATTACTGTTAATGGGTGTGTTGTAGTTGTGCCAAAAATTCTGAGACAAACGAAGAGGTTGCAATAATGAAGATTGGGAATGCATTTGATAACAGGATTAATGCTAAGAGGATACTCAGGGAGATCAAACTCCTCCGTCACCTGGATCATGACAATGTAAGTACCAAATATCAATCATTCTGTGTTGGTATGTTTGATTTAATGCCTTGTTGTCATGTTGTTCTGTGAAGTGGATATCAAATCTGGCACTGAATTTGTGCAGATTGTCAAGATCAAGGACATCATACCACCGCCAGAAAGGGAAGGGTTCAATGATGTCTATATGGCATATGAACTGATGGATACCGATATGCATCAGATAATACGGTCTAGCCAGCCTCTGACTGATGATCACTGTCAGGTTAGTTCTTATTCTCTCTGGTATGCCTGTTGCTGTGGTTAGTACCATACATGTAATATATGATAGGCTGTATCAATGTTTGTTGGTAAATTTGAGTCCTAAATTAGAAGTTTTATATTACTTGGAATCATGATTATCATGCCATGATGGAACAGTTTTTGATGTTGTGTTTTTAATCTCATTGATAGTATTTCCTCTATCAATTGTTGAGGGGACTGAAGTACATACACTCGGCTAATGTTTTGCACCGAGATCTAAAGCCGAGCAATCTGCTTCTCAATGCAAACCGTGATCTTAAAATTGGTGACTTTGGGCTTGCAAGGACCGCTTCTGAGACTGACTTCATGACGCAATGTGTTGTCACTCGTTGGTATAGGCCCCCTGAGTTGCTGCTCAACTGCTCAGAGTATACTGCTGCCATTGATATCTGGTCAGTTGGTTGTATTCTCATGGAGATAATTAGAAGGGAACCACTTTTCCCTGGTAAAGACTATGTTCAGCAGTTGGCACTTATTACTGAGGTACTATATTTTGTTGCCATTTCAGCAGTTGTAGTTTCATGTTAGGCATTGTTAGAAGAAATGGATGACACAAGTTGCACGTTTAGTGGGAAGTGGATATAGAATGATAATATAGTTCTTGATTGTATTTCAAAACAGCTACTAGGATCACCTGATGACTCAGATCTTGGATTCCTAAGAAGTGACAGTGCTAGGAATTGTGTCAAGCAGCTTCCACAGTTACCAAAGCAACCCTTTTCTAGGAAGTTCCCAGACGTGTCTCCTGTTGCAATTGATCTTGCAGAGAAGATGTTGGTTTTTGATCCATCCAAGCGCATTACTAGTACGTATAAGTGTGTGTGTCACTTTTGAACAATCTCAGTCTGTTTGGTTGTCTCATCTTTCTGATGAATAACATCTTTTCTTGACGCATGTAAAGTTGAGGAAGCACTGAATCATCCATATTTATCTAGGCTTCATGAGATCAATGAAGAGCCTACTTGCCCATCTCCTTTCAACTTCGATTTTGAACAGACAAACTTGGATGAAGAAGATATAAAGGAGCTGATATGGAGGGAGTGTCTGAGCTTCAATCCAGATATAATGCAGGAATGATCTCACTGACATTTAGTTCTAATCTTGTTTTTGTTTGGTTTTGCTAGAGGGTTGGATTACAAACTTGCATGTGTATAATATAAGAATTGCTTCTGTACAAGCAGAATAAAAATTGGGGTTGTTTAATCTGTGCTTAAAGTGAAATAAATATATATTTTTATAATTGATTTACATGAAAAATAACAAAAGTTAATTTTTATTTTAATGTTATTATCACATGAACAATTTTAATTAATCAGTTAATTAAATTTAAATTAATTTTTATATAAATTGATTATAAAATAATGCATTTATTATATTCTTAACCTATGTTTTAATGGCACACTATAGAAAAATCCTTAAAGTTAAGGGATTCATTCTGTTCGTGAATCCAGCCACCATTAATGATGCAATTGGTAGAGGGAGAATACTTCACAGTAGTGTGTAGAGGATAGTTTAATGGGTTTTTATGTTCTCTCTTTGTATGCTCTATTTTTCAGCTAATATTAATACAAGAGACAAACATCTATTTTCTTGAGTTAG